ATGTAGTTTAAACTAGTTTGTTTATAATAGTGAAGTTGCGGAATATATATTGATTTAAAAAAAATGAACTTTATATAATCAAAGTTGCCGGTGTCGCTATATGTTTTTCTGGGGTTACACAAAAATTGCTAGTTCTGATTGGCCGAATCATATGATGTTTACATGTAAATCATATGATATCATATATACAAAGTTAATGTACAATCTATTTTATATGAAATTAGAAATTTGTACACCCTACCCTTAAAATCAAAAAATGATATCGATATATCATTAGCATTATTAAATTTAAACCTATCGCTATATGCATCATTAATACAGAATATTATTAATACCATTATGCTATACACATCGTTACTGATTGATATTCACATTACTGAATATATAACACACAGAATTAACCTATTGCGCATACTTTTTTTGATAGTTGTGTGGCATGCAGCATAAAAAACAAAATAAAAAAAAACTCATATGCGCATAGTTAAAACAGCAAAGTGCACAGATATAAACAATAATAAGATCCTTGATATTTTTATTAACTAAACAATTATGTTAATAAATTTTCTAGTTAAAATTCCATATCATTAATAATATTATGTTTTAACACTTAAATTAAGACTATCAACTTGTATTAGATACAAATTTAATATGTATTTTGGTTTCATGATATAAAACTTTAAACAGACCGGGCAAGCCAGGTTTTTTTTTTAAAAAAAAATTCATATATAAAAGTTTATAAAAAAAAAAAAATTTGACATGGCCAGTTATGAAAGCCAATTATTAATATCGTATGTCCTTAATTGGTTTCTTAGTATTTTTTGTCAGTATCACGATATTTATTTATTTGTATCAATTAAAATTTGCATTACAATTTAACAAGTATCATTAAAACTTTAAGTCCGATTGTAGTTTGGTTGTAATTTGATCGGACATGACTTTTACAGGGGTTATTTCACCAAACTAAAGCAAAAATAACAACAAGGAGCTATTAAAAATGGTTAAAAGTAGTATCAGGTAAAAGCTCTATGCAAGTAGTATGTCCAGTATTAATATTACTGTATTAATATTACTGAGGTTGACATAGTGATTTACGTAAGTTGTTCTAGCAAAATTTGATCAAAAATTTGCAGGCAAATTTGCCTGCAAAACGGTTTAAGGTATATATAGGGTTGGAATCTTAAGAATACTCTCGGCAAATAGCAACTTTTTATTAGAAACCAAAGATTAATTTACTTAGTAAAACACTAAGATCGGATTGTATAAATAATGATCTCTTTGTTATCAACACTTTATAGATATCAATCTCATTGATATCATTATAATAATTCAACCCAAATGGGAGTCAACTGTATAAACTGTTAGTTAATTAGTCAGTCGGTCAGTCATTAACCATCGGTTATAACCATGGTCATTGATCAATAACCGGCGGTTATTGACCGTGACCGACCATGACTGACCGTTCAGTATTGAAAATTCGTTGTGCATGTATTGTTTTTTGCACAAAAGTTACAATACATGCACAAAAAAAATTTTTCGCAATTTGCACAACTGCACAATTGACTGTGCAGGTCAAATAATGTTAATACGTAGTACAGTAGTATCAAAGTCATCTGCCTCATACCTCCGGTTCCTCCAGTTATACTAATCACATGCTCAAGCAAAAAATTATCGAAGCGAATAGTTATTTAAATTCAATAATTCTTTTATAACAAAATGAATTAACTATTTATGTAAACTTGTAGATCAACAATAGTAATAATTTACTTTTAATCTCTTAAACCGTTTAGCGAGCAAGTTTGTATACTAATACTAAAATATAACAGTATGTAAAAACTAACGGTTAAGAGATAAGAATATACTTTTTATTCATAAAGTTATAATAAAGCAAATTTTATAAAAGTATATCGTAAACATCAAAATTATGTAATTTATACTTTAGACTTCAATATGAATGATAAAGGCAAACGTAAAGCTACTAGTGAATTAGAAATTCAAAATCAAAATCAAAATCAAAAAAAATCGCGAAATATAACGAGCCTACCAAATCTGCCTTCTTCATGGTTAAAAAATTGGGAATGGTTAGAATATCTTGAAACTGATGGAAATTTGCGAATGTTTTGCAAATTATGTAAAGCGGCAAAGTTTGATAATGCATTTACTCGAGGAACTAATATCTTTAAGAAAGATATTGTTAAATGGCATGATGAAAAAGATCTAAAGCATCAAAAAGCAAAGGAACAGTTTTCAACATTAGTACTTCATCAATTAAATGATACTGATATGAAAATCATATGGCAAATGAAATGTGTTTATTTTGCAGCTAAAAAGCATCTTTCTTTTAATGTATATCCTGATTTATATAGTCTAGTTGCGAACAGTGACAATATTTCTTCAGATCCTCAAATACTTAAAATTTCTGCACTTAGTTTAGAAGAATCTTCGGAATACAAAGATTATGGAACCTATTTAAATTATGTTGCAGCTCGAAATTTTGCTATAGCAATCGTACATATAATTGAAGAAAAGCTTATTGATGAAATTAAGTCAGCAAAAAACTGGAGTATTATGATCGATGAAAGCAATTCTATTGATGAAAAACATCTGGTTATTGCAACACAATATATGGCATTTAATGTACTAGTTATTCGTTATCTAGGTGTAATGAAATTAAAAGACTGTAGAGCAGAATATATTTTTGAAACATTAAAGAAATTTATATCTGACAAAGGTTTGAATATTGAAAATATTGCACATTTTGGCAGTGATGGTGCTTCGACAATGATGGGTAAATATATATTTTTATTAGAGCCAATATTTTTATGCTTCACACCTATATAGATTACTTACTTTAATCGAAGGTATCTCATTATTATTATATAATATTTATTTTTCGTTCAAAAACTGGCGTCTCAACAAGATTTAAAAATTCAAATCCATTTATGACATCTATACACTGCATCGCACATCAATTACATCTTGCAGGACAAGATGCAGCAAAAGAAGTTTCGTATTTTAAAGAATATGAATCTATATATAAATCATTATATAATTATTTTAGTGGCTCATATAAGCAAATGTTAAATTTAAAAATGATTCAAGAAACTAATGATGAGCCACAATTATATTTACTAAATATTATCAATACTCGATAGCTTTCTATATCCAATACGGTTCATAATTTACATCAAATTCTTGATTCTGTTAAGGATGCTTTGAATCATGATTTTATGATTGCTAACAATAAGCAAGATAAAGAAAAGGCTAAAAAATTGATTGATTGTTTAAATTTAAACTTCGTATTAGCTACAAAGTTTTTAGCTGATTTAATGTATATTTTAACTAAGCTGATTAATATATTTCAGCAAGACCATATAACAATTTCTGATATTCAATTTAGTTTAGATGCAACAATATCAGCAATTATGACACAATTTATTGGATATGATAATACACCTCCAACATATGGAATGCACTTATCAACATATATGATAGAAAATTTTATAACCCCAAAATAACTTCCATCTTCAATGTTTGAATTTGCACTAACATTAATTCAAAGTTTAAAATCTTGGTTTCCAGACACCAATTTATATAATACTATGAAAATTTTTGAACCAAGATTATTACCTCGTAAGGAATGTGATCTGTCAAATTATGGAAATACCGAAATTGAAATACTAGCTGAATTTTATAGTAATGATAAGAAAACTAGTGACGGAAAAATAATTTCAGCAGTAATTGATAAACAGGAATTAAAACAAGAATGAAGATTAGTTAAAGAAATGATGAAATCTATTCGGAAATTTAATTGTATCGAAGGATGCATTTTATTTTTTTTACCAAACCATATTTTTATACTGAATTTCCAAATATTTTATTACTTGTTAAACTTACTCTTATTATTTCACTATCCAATACACATGTAGAATGTATCTTTTCTCAATATAAATTAATTAAGAATAAGATGCGAATATAGATACGCTCAATATGCTTTTAATGATTCATGAAAATGTGCCTGATAATATAAACTTGTTTGATTGGAAATCTACTGTTATCCTATATCCACTTCTTTAAAGATAATAGGTAACTAAAGCGACTGTAGCTATTGAATACTTTGTGTAACCCA